AGAAGAAGAAGAAGAAGAAGAAGAAGAAGAAGAAGAAGAAGAAGAAGAAGAAGAAGAAGAAAGAGGAGGAGGAGGAGAAAGGAGGGAGGGAGGGGGAGGGGAGAGGGAGAATAGCCAGGGACAGCAGGAATGATACATCTGGCTCTGACCCCACCCCTTCCTGCTACTACTTTGCTCCTCTTCCTCTCCGACCAGCTCTGCCATGCCCTTTGCAGCATGATGACCTTGGAGCCATGAGCCAAGACAAACCATTCCGTTTTTGAACTTGCTCTCCTGGGCGTTCCGATTATAGTGACGAGAGCAAAAACTAAGGCCATCCCGGGCTGACCTGGCTTGGCTGTACCCTGTGCGCTCTCCGTGGTGGTTCTCAATCCCTGGGATTGGGCCCACAGGAAACATCTGTCCATGTCTAGGGCACAAAATCAACTCCTATAACAGCCACCCAAGGAACTGCTAGAGCCCCAACGTTGAAAACCCCTAGGCCCATTAGGGAATGAGACCAGTCCTAGAGTTGGGGTCATCCAGTATCGGGCAAGGGGTCACTGCCCAGGGTCATTAGCTGGGCTTGGACCTTAGGCTTTGTCTCAGGGATAGTTTCTGCAGGACTGACCCGTCAGGCTTGGCCCAGGACTGACTTGTTCCACTGCCACCCTTCACACTGGGACATCCGGGCTTTGCAAGAGCAGTGCAGCCGCTGAGGGGGCTGACAGTGAGGCGACTCACCGCTGTGTCCTCTGGCCTAACTCATCAGCCACAGGGATATCCAGTGCTCAAGATGCCAGCTCCAGGACCCTAGTGAGCTCTCTTCCTGTGTGCCTCATTCCCTCTGGGGCAGCCACAGACAAGACATTGATTGGCTTTGCTGTCGCGGTCACCTCCTTGGCACACCAGTTCACTCAACACAGTGGGCCAGGTGATCAGTGCCACCTCATGGGCATTTTAGATCACAATCCCAAGACAAAACAACCAAGACCAATCAACCAATCAACCAAAAAAGTCCAGCACAGTTCCTGAACATAGTCTATGACCAGCCTGACCTTGTTTCATCTGTGCCTTTCCATGGTGGCTTTCAACTATTGCCATCAGGGACATGCTAGAGCCCCGTGTGTTCTAAAATCGAAATATTCCTTTAGGGGAGCCTGGCTTGTTCCTAGGTGGTGAAGAACACCCAGAATGCCCTGCTGTTCCTTCAGGGCAGGAACCTCCCTGCAAGTGAAGGGATCCAGAAACTCTACTTCCCACCCCCCATCCCCCTGTCTCTGCCTCCCAGCACTGGGATATCAGGTATGTGTGATACCGTACCCAGGTTCTGAAGTGGGTAAGGGGATCTGAGCCCAGGTCCTCGTGCCGGGTGAGTACTTTGTCCTAAGCCATCTTCCCAGACCTCATTTCTTCGTTATGAGTTAGAGAGCTACTGACAGGTCGGGAACAATTCCCAATCAATACCTCTGTCAGCATTCATGCTGTCCTGTGGGCCTGCTGGCTGAAGCTGAGGGAGGCACGTGTGCCCTAGTGGCCCGGGCACTGAGGGTGCATGGTGGGAATCATGCCAGGGGAAAGGATCCATGTGGTCAGGAGAAAACATGGTGCCACTCCAAAAGCTGCAACATTCCTAAGCTCAGACAACACTTGAGCCAGCACACAGCTAATGCCCAGGCAGCTTCTGGCACCACAGCGCGGCACAGGACAGGGCAACACAGAAGCTAAACAGGTGGGAGGAAACGGTAGACACTGGACTAGCTGAGCAACTCCGGGGCTTGCTCTTTCTTGCCTTCCTGCCTCCTCATTTCCTCTAGTGCTGGGACGCTAACCAGAGTTCTCATACATGCCAGGCAAACACTTGACCACGAACTCTACCTGTGGCCCCATTCCCCCCACCCCTGTCTTTTAAACTCAAATATGCACCAAGATTGTGATTTTAGCTGACAATCCACTTTGATCCCTGTAAGTCAGGAGCTTGCATCCCCCTTGCCCCCCACTGCCTCAGTTTCTCTAGAGCTGAGTAACAAACATGAAGCCACACAGTAGCCACTGATGCCCAGTGACTGAGGTGGGGGTGAATGTCCCCAGTTAGAGCATCTTAGCTGGAAAAGAGGGACAGCAGGGCCCAGGCACAGCTTGTCTGTGACAGACCCTGCTCAGGGGACAGAGGGTGAAAGGGGGTCTGGGAATAATGATAGGGATTCACCTTTCCCAAATACCAACTTTGTTAGGTACCAGGTAAGCATCCATAAGGAGGCTTGCAACCATTTTATTTGAATATAGGGTGTCATATTTCTCAGGCTGCCCTTGAACTCACTATGTAGCAGAGGATGATCTTGAACTTCTGACCCTTCCTCTTCCTCCACACTGCAGGAATTACAGGTATCTGTCACCATGCATGGCTTATGCAGTGCTGGGGACTGAACCCAGGGCTTCTGGCACACTAGGTAAACCTTATATCTTAGCCCAACCCTTACAATCTAGAAGGTCTGAGACCTGGGACCCCTGAGTTCCAACCGCCCATAGTAATACTTCCAAATGCAACAGTCTAAAGTTCGCAATGACCAGGAACATTCTGCAGACCCAACCTGATTTCCCAAGGAAAGATGCATCTCAAAGGCTTGCAAACAGGCCAGGTTGAAATAAAAAAAAAATCCATCAAACACAAACCCCAGGCACCTGCACAAGCCTAAAATATCCCAACTGTCTCTCTGGTACCTCATAGCCATATTGTGAGCAGCTGTTCCCAGAGCTCGCCTTCCCAGAATGCACAGGGCAAAGGAAAGTGTCACCAGAGGTGAGTCTTCATCGCTGTCCACCGGGTCCAGAGCCTTGGAGAGCTGAAAGAACAAGGATGTGAAGCCAGCTGTCACCCAGGCTCTCACGTGTGTGGCTGCAGCAGGTTTGTAGGCAGACACTGTAGCTAACTGGGCACCTCTGAAGTGGCCCCGGAGAGGGGAGTCTGCTGCTGTCCAAGGCAGTCTCTCCCGTGGTCGGACATGGGAAGACACACATGGGGAGAGCACATACCACTTTCTTCTCTCAATGCTGTCATGACATTTCTGACAAAAGGCAATTTAAGGAAGAAGGGCATTATTCTGGCCCACAGAAGAGGCAAAATTCCTCATGGTAGGAAAGGCATGGGGGCAAGGAGGTGAGGGTGGCTGGTCATGTGTACAGTCAAGAAGCAGAACCTGAACAGGACATAAAGCCTCAAAGCCTATGTGGTGGTTTGGGAAAGAATGGCCCCTATAGGTCCATATATTTGAATGCTAAGTCACCAGAGAGTGGCACTATTTGGGAAGGATTAGGAGGTGTGGCCTTGTTGGAGGAAGTGAGTCACTGAAGATGACTTTGAGGTTTGAAAAACCCAAAATCAGGCCCAGTTTCTGTCCATCTGCCTATGGATCAGGATGTAGAACTCTCAGCTGTCTTTTTAGTACAAAGTCTGCCTGTGGACCCCCAGGCCCTCTACCATGGTAATAATGGACCAAGCCTCTGAAGCCATAAACAAGCCCCCAGTTAAATGCCTTGTTATAAGGGTTGCCTTGGTCATGGTGTCTCTTCACAGCAAAAGAACAGTGACTAAGACAGCCTGCTTCCAGTGATACATTTAGTCTAATGAGGCTCCACCTGTTAAAGGTTTTACAACCTTCCCAACAGCACTTCCACTGTTGTTGAAGTGGGGCGTGATTGAGCGAGGCGCCTGACATTGACCTCTGACCTCCACATGCCTGTGCCCACTCACAGGCACCAAATAAAGTAAAATTATAACAAAAATTTAAAAGTTTGGTTCTGTTGGTGGTGCTGAGTATTAAAGCCTTTCCAAACACAAATTTATTCAATTTAATTTATTAGTGTGTGTGTGTGTGTGTGTGTGTGTGTGTGTGTGTGTGTGTGTATACCCATAGTCATACATTCTACATGATTCTTTTGAGATAGGGTATCTCACTAAACCTGGAACTCACTGGTTTGATCCTGGGCTGGTGGCCAATAAGTCCCCAGCCATCCTCCTGTCTCAGCATCACCTCACTAGCACTGGGGTTTCTGACATGGGTCACACAACCACAACACACACACACACACACATACAATGCAATTTTAACGTCTTGCTGCTACTCTAGCAACTTAAACTATACTGACCCTGAACCCCGTTTACAGGGACAGACACTTTCAACGTTCTGTCGCTGGAGACAAACCCCATTATCTCCCAATTAAGTACTAAACATTTACTTGCTTCAGTACTGAACGTTTGTTCAAAAAGTAAGTGTTTTCACCTCTATTTTCTTATTGTCTACCCTGGAGTGCAGAAAGAAAGAGAAGGCTAAGGACCCTTGCTGTGTAGGCTTGTCCTCAGTGGCTCAGCCCCAGGCCCCCTCCTACCTCCTGTCTCTTCCCTGCGCAGTACTGAATCCACTCCAGGAACACGGTGCAGTAACTCGCCCGTGTGATGCCCTGGAGACACGGGACGTAGTCGTCGTCGATGTTGATGTTAAACATTGCAAGGTCGCGCTCGATGTGATGCCACTTGGCGAAGGGCTGGAGGGACTTCAGCAGGGGTTCGTTCTTGACCCACGAGAGGAGTTTGGGGGACGTGACCATGTAGTATATTATGCTCTGCAGAAAGCAAGCGAGATTGTGAGATCTCATAGCCAGTCCGGCAGCCAGGAAGACCTCATTGTTTTGGTTTATCAGGCCTCAGTGTGGAGGGTCTAGAAAGATGGCACGGAGGCTAAGGGGAGACATCTTTGTCTTCATCAAAGACGGCTTTGGCTGGTAGGGTCCAAGGTCTCTGATGGGTACCTTTTGGTGTCAGCACAGTGTAGAGGGCATGAGGTCCTTTCAATCATAGATAATCACTAGGGAAACCAGGAATGTTAAACACACAGGGTTGCCTCTTCAAAAGAACAGATTATAGCCAGTCTGCCCAGATAACTTGGAATGACGTGGCTAATAGCCTGGGGACTTCTGTGTTATCTGCAGGGCCAGTGTACACCTGAATTCCCCAGACTCTTCCTCCCTAGACCCTCATCTTGAGCATTGTTTCTCAGTCAATAGAATCCACCCTTATGGAAGAGGTCATATGGACTTTGGAAAAAGTTTCAATGCTACCATGTAGCAAGCTTTGTTGTATACAGAGGATTGAGTTAATTATCACCGGGACATTTTTTTCCAAAACTGTGCTATGTTTAAACATGCCTAAAATAAATGGCCCGGGGCTAGACAGACTCTAGAAGTTGGAACTAACACTGGCTACTGAGTCGTGTTGACAAATTTCTTTCTTTCCTCACACTGATCGACAGTCCTGGCCCTGGCGATTGCAGAGACACCCCACAGGACAGCACTAAATTGTGGAGCCCCTAGTAGGCTTGTTATCATTCATAGCCTTCCCCCAGCATAGGGTCCCTCACATGGGTTTCCTCTGTCCTTCTGGTCTCTTTTTCTTAGACTACAGCTCAGCCCAGGCCAGCACTCGGTATCTGCATGAGAACTGCATTTTTCTCCACAGGGCATCCAAGCTGCACATTTTTTTTCTCGTCTTTTTCCTTTCCCCTTTCCTCCCTTCCTCTTCTCTTTCCCCGTCCCTCTCTCTCTTTCTTTCTCTCTCTCTCTCTCTCTCCTTTTTTTTTAAAATCATTTTTCTTCTGACTCTTTGGATTGAATGTTGAAACAGGACCTTTTGTAGGATGGTTTGGAACTCTCTATGTAACATTGAGCTTCTGCCCCTCCTTCCTCCACCTCCTGAGGACTGGAACTTATAGATGTACACCAACCACAACATGAGGTTGCATGCAGTGCTGGGGATTGAACCCAGGACTCTGTGCATGCTAGGCAATCCTCTGTCACCTGAGCTACATCTCCAATCTAAAACTCTGGTTCTAAACTGGACCATCTGCACAGCAGCTAATAATGTAATCTGCAACTCTAACATGGACCTGCTGGTGCACCCTGGGCATTTAAATTGGCCATCATAACAAGCACCCCTGCTGTGGTGGAAACGGACAGTCAAGGTTATAGCCAGCCTGCTGTGCCCAGGCTTAGGCTAACACAAAGCCCTGTTGTGTTTTTCAAGAAAGAAGAGGTCCTCAAGCCTGACTGCATCTCTCATTGGGAATCTGGGAAAAACCTTTTCATGCCACTTTGTGGAAAGATTTTCAGGAACCCTGCCTTTCACTCCCTCTCCCCACTTCTTAGGCGCCACCCCTAGTGTTGGGAAGCACAACACACCTTGACATAGTAGCGGACGAGCACCCTGCGGAGGTCAAATACCTGCAGCATGGTGGCTGCATTGTTGTCCATGATGCGATAGCCCTCCAGGATGTACTGTGTGCGTGTGATCTCCCAGGTGAGCCAGCGCAGGTGGAAGGCGGCGTTGCAGGACAGCAGGTGTGGCAGGTGGCCAGGCTTGCAGCAGCAGCAGCCTCTGTCATCCTCGTCACCTTCCATGATGGCCTCCACCTCTCTCTGCTGGCAGTAGGTCCCTGGCCAAGGACACAAGAGGCATTAGGTCACGCAGAGGTCAGAAGAGGGCGTCAGATGATCTGGAACCGGAGTTACAGACAGGTGTGAGCTGCCATGTGTGTTGAAAATCACACCCGGTTCCTCTGGAAGGGCAGCCAGCGCTCTTAGTCACCGAGCCCTCTTTGTAGTCCCATGAGGTGTCTCTGAGGGTGCTAGGAGGCGCTGGAGTCAAGTGTGTATTCTTCATTTTAAAGCAGGCCTACTAAACAGCCATAAATAACTTTTTGGGTGTGTACCTATATGAAAGGTGTGTGTGTGTGTGTGTGTGTGTGTGTGTGTGTGTGTGTGTGTGTAGGTAGGTAGGGAGGTAGGAAGATACATAGGCAAGGGTCATTTCTCAGGAGCCCTCTGCCTTGTTGTTTAGAGACGGTCTCGGTCTCTCCATGGATGGGAGCTCAGGAAGTTGGCTAGGCCAGCTCGGCCTCCCCGGAACTGGAGCTCAGGCCTCTAATCCCAATGTTCAAATGCAGGAACAGTGCAATCTCTGGAGCTTGCTGGCCAGCGAGACTAGCCAAGTCACCGAGCTCCTGCTTCAGTGAGAGGCTTTGTCTCAACAATAATAAAAAAGAGTGGCGTGGCGAGACACTGAAAAAAACACCCGGCGTCAACCTCTGGCCTCCACAAACGTGTGCAAAAATACACACAGATGTACACACACATACCTACAAAGTGGAACTAACCAAAGCTTCCAGGCACACCAGACAGCACAGTACCCAGGAAATGTTGAAATGTGTAATTCTGTAATCATCCCTGGGAGTAAAATGTCCTGACTTCCTTTCTGTTTACAGGCTGGAACAACAATACAACCAACCAGACTCAGAGGAGTGGCTGTCATTCAGAATGGCCTGCTCCTCACACAGCCTTCCTGAGGGCAGAGACTCTGCTAGAGCCCACAGGACACAGCCTGCTCACCTAGACCTGCCATATACACCGACTTGCCTTGGGCTCCTCCAGTTAGAAGTGAAGGGAACTATGTGTGCTAGCATTCGTGGGGGACAGCGCTCTACTTTATGGATGAAGTCTGGAACTCAGGGAGTCATCAGACCACGCAAGCTGCACAGACATAAAACCCAGAGGCATGACGAAGCGGTGACTGTCGCCAAGAGGAAGAAAACTGTGGAGTCTGAGATTGGTGGGAGAGCTGTGTGTGGATCTGCCAGTTAAGATAAAGATCCGGGTTGGGTTTGCTTTGGATAAGATTAGGCTACGTGGACGTTTCCACACGTCCCCGCGGGCCAGTGATTATGGGGGGGTCAGCCAAACCACGAGAACACTGATAACATCTCCCTCAGACAGGAGCATAAATCTTGCTTTTTGAATTTCTCGGCTCCAGGGGGAGTGGGTGGCTTCACCCTAATAATTGCCTGTGCTTTCGGTGTCCTTTCTGCGAGGTCCATCAAGATGCTGAGGAGTGGCCTGCAGGGTGGGGCCACATTAAAGTTTGAAGGAATTCTGAGAAAATGGGATTAACAATTTAACATCAAATAGACTTTTAAAACACTTAGACATTCTTTATTTCAGTCTTTCCTTATTTAACTTCCCTCTCTCTCCTTCTTTCTTCCACTTCTCTCTTCTCTCCATTCTCTCCTTCCTCCCCTTCCTCCTCTCTTCTCTCCACTCCCTTCCCTCTCCCCTCCTCCTCATCTCCTCTCTTTACCCCATTCTTTCCTCCTCCCTTCCTGGTCTTCTTCATGTCCTCTTTTCCTCCCTCCCTGCCTCCCTCCCTCCCCTCCCTCCTTCCCTCCCTCCCTCCCTGCCTCCCTCCTTCCCTCCCTCCCTCCCTTTCTCCCTCCCTCCATCCTTTCTTTCTTTCTGCCCCTTTGTTCATTCTTTCCTGCCTCCCCTCCCCTCCTCCCTCTCCTTCATTTCTCTCTCCTCCCCTCCCTTCCCTCTATGTCCTCCTTTCCCTTCCTTCCTTCCTTCCTTCCTTCCTTCCTTCCTTCCTTCCTTCCTTCCTTCCTTCGTCTCTCCTTCCCTCTTCCGGTCATGGTCACTGTAACACTCCTAGATGTGGTTTACCCAAACCTGCTTCCCTCTAAATAGCAGCCCAGAGCATCCCAGGGACCACCTTTGTCTCCTCTAGTATTTCAGCTCCCCAGGTCATTGCCCCCTTGCTGGGCTCACAGTTCCTCGACACTGTCACTGGGGTCCTGTTTCCTATTTCCTCGTTTGTTTGCTTTTCTCCTTTCCTAGTGTGACCGAGCACTGTCATCTTTGTCACACCTTTGCTTCCTGTTCTTGGCTTCCTCTGTGTCTCTCCCCGTGGTTAGCCCCCATCCCATGCTTCTGCGTTCACACTCAGAGAGCCAGTGCGGCGTAGGGAAGATCGCGCCATATCTTAACTTGCCTGTTTAGAAGGTGCCACGCTTTCCATGCATTCCAAAACCCATACCCGATTCCCTGCTCAGCCCATCCATCTGGTGTCAACTCCTGTGACAGTGGTGGGTGAGTGCATCAAGGCCCTGGGGCAGAAGCTGAGGTCCTCTAACGCCAAGTCACCAGGATGTCCACTGAGGATCCTGATATGAAAGTAGATTGGTTTTCCAGTGAGGAAGGCGGTGTGGAGCTGTCAGAGGCTATGTGGGAGACAACTACTGAGTGCCTGGGAACCAAGTAAATACTGTGGCAGAGATTTCCAGTGAGTACCCCACAGTCAGGCTGTCCAGATGGAGAGCCACATGGTTGCCCAGCTGCACCCTGATCTAGTGGTGAGCTCAAGGCCCTTCTTCTCCCTTGCTTTTCTTTTGGAGTTAGTTAGAAGGTTGGGAGGAAGGATGATGCCTCTCCTGAGGGTAGCTATCGCCTTCAAGGTGCTCTCGCCTGAGCCCGAGTTCACAGGCATCTTATAAAAACGACCAATTCCCTGCCTTGGCTCTTTGTTCCTATCTCTCACCTCCAGACAGTATTATTGGATCTGCAGCCCCTACCCTTCCCTTCAGGCCGTCTGGTGCCCACTGGCACGTGCTTTGTTTATGACTCTGACTTGGACTTTCAGCTGATATTAATCTGTCAACCCTTGAATTATTAATCACCTTAAAGGACACTCCTCGCCGGGGTCCTTTAAGGTGACTCCGTATGCTTGTTTATCCTCTCCTCACAGAAATGGCTAAGCCACCTGTCCAGGTCACCTGACTAAGCGACCACAGAAGGATGGGAAACTTCAGCAAGAGCTCTACTTGCTTTCCAGGTGGTCACATCACTTCTATAGGGACCATGAGACATAGAAGGAAACGGCCCATTCTGGGCTCAAACCTGGGCTGTAACCACCTCCCCTGCACGCTTCTCCTTGCTGCCACGCTCCACACTGACACTCAAGGTGCCCTTGAAAGCAGCACATAAAGAAGCATTGGCTGGGACACCTGGTGATGTTGAAAGGGGACGCTCTGTGTCCTGCTACCTCTACATCTGCAAAGGAAAAGCACACTGTGTCACCGTCTCGGCGCTCAGCTGTATCGTGAGAGCACTGGCCTTTCTTCAACAGCTATGCCCACCACCTAAGCCTCAGCAACCATGTCCCACTAGGAGAAATGAAAAGCCAGATACCCTCTGACCCAGAGATAGGCATGTGTCCTTGACTTTGGTGCTCTGATCTACTTAGACTCGGACTGAACGCACAGCACTGAGAGGCCAGTGATGGGCCCGTGTAGGAGGCGTCGTGGTAGAAGCTGTTTATCTGCTCTCAGGGGACGGTGGTACCTGAGGGCTCAAGCTCAGGGATCAGTGATGTGGGGGCAGCCCTGGGTCCACTGCAGAGATGAGGGTCCTTTGTAGCTGGCATGTGAGTTTAAGGTTTATATAAGTGTGTGTGTGCATGTGTGTGTATGCACGTGTGTGTGTGTGTTTACGTGTGTGGTGTGTATGCCATGGGTATGCAAGTGCTCAAAGAAGGCAGAAAAGGGCACCAGACCCCCTGGACCTGATGCTGAGCAGTAAAATCCAGGTTTTGGGAAGAGTATCAACTGCTCTTAGCCATCGCTCCAGCCCCTGTTGTGTGATTGCAGACTTGAACTTGCCCAACCGGCCCAGGCCCTCCCACGTTGCTCAGAAAGTCTCCATCCCTGGATGTATTTCCCATAAACCCTTCCCCTCTTATGTTAAAATGGGTTGATTTCTGTGTCTTGATGCTCAGACCTCCTGTTAACTTGGTGCTTCTCTTTCAGGGGATTGGGAGTGGGGCAGAGAACTCTTCTCCATGATAGAGATAGATTTCTTTCTTTCTTCCTGAGAAAGTATAGCCCGGTGGTAGAGGACTTGCCTGACATGCGTGCGGTTCTGAGTTTGATCACTAAGCCATGAGAGAGGGAGGGAAGAGAGAAAGAAAGGGAGAGAGTGAGAGAGTGAGCCAGAGCAAGCTGCGAATATGCAAACAACCCCCACTCCCTCTCCTGCCTTCCTCAGTAGAGTTCCAGAGAAAGACTGTGTCTGGGTTTTCACTGCCCCCAGGCCGTGCCCAGCTAGATTAAATTTGACCAAAATAAAACCTGCTCTTTCAGAAGACAGGGAATTCGGAAGAAAAGTGGAATGAAGAAAAAGAAACCTAGAACATCACCCAAGAAGAAAACCGACCTCGGAGGGAATATTGTAATCAATGCTGCAACGAGAATAAACCCTACCACAGTCCTTTGGGGTCAACGTAGCTCTTTCTCAGAGCTTGAATTCTGTCAGGCTACAGGGCTTTTAAGTCTCCGTGTTTAAAATCATGCTCAAAGTAGGTCAGAGAAAATGTACTGTAGGGGAGCTGTGTGGTGCGGCAAGCAGGCTGCCATTTTCACCCTCAAGATATGGCTTCTGTGCTGATCTTACAGTCAGGTGACATGTCCACTGTGGGTGACTGGAAGAAGACAAAGCCGCCAACCCCCAACCGACAGCCCCTCCCAGAAGCCTGCTTAGGCAGTCCCAGCTGTGGCCGTGCTGGGAACCCCCTTCTGTATTTTACACTGTGAGGTTTCAGGAATCCAGTATGCTGTGGCAATGTTGAGCCCCAGCAAACCGTGCCTCTCACTCACCGTGACACAGGACAAGGAGATATGGTTATTTTTTCTACCTCCTGACTTTGAGCTATAGATAGAATTGACTCTATACGAATTACTTTTTTCGCTGCTGTGGTAAAATAACTTGGCTAAAGAAATCTGGGAAAAGAGGTGTTCCCTGGGGCTCGTGGTTTACGGGGATGCAGTCCAGTATGGCGGGGGAAAGATATCAGCAGGGGTGGCTCCTGACCATCAGGGCAGGAGTGCTCCATCTGGGTGGATCAGACAGCAGAGGACAGATCAGAAGGAGCCACTGTTTCCCCAGCTGACTGACGTGTGCTTGTCAGAATGTCTGCTCAACAGGAGAGGCAGCCTTGATCCCATGCAACAGAACCGTCCCCAAGCCCTTCTTAGTAACGTCATCTCTAAAAGGTTTGCTCTGCTTGTTTCTATTTGTGTGACTGTGTCTGAGTGTGCGCACCTGTGTCCAGGTGCCCAGAGAGACCAACCTGCATTGGAACCCCTGGAACCGGAGTCAGGTGCTTGTAAGCCTCCCAGACTGGATGCTGGATTCAAATGCAGGCTTTTGCAAGAGTTGTACATGCTTTCAGTGAGTGAGTCATCTCCCCACCCCTGATGGTGGCTTCTGAGCAGTGCCTAACACCCTGAGTTCCAGTGCTGCCTCAGCTGCATGGTCCACCGCCTAACACCCCGAGTTCCAGTGCTGCCTCAGCTGCACGCTCCTTCACCTAACACCCCAAGTTCCAGTGCTGCCTCAGCTGCACGGTCCTCCACCTAACACACCGAGTTCCAGCACTGCCGCAACTGCATGGTTCTATGCCAACACCCCGAGTTCTAGCACTCCCTCAACCGTACGATCCTCCGCCTAACACTCTGCAAGCACGGTGACCCCTACCTCGGAACTCTAGTCCTCGAAGTTGAAAGGTGACGAGACCGTTCCCAATCTCGATCAGGTGGACGAAGGCATTGAGGTCATCCGAAGCCAAAATGAAGCAGTCACCGGAGCTGTAGTTGCCCCAACGGCCAAGCACCAGGTCTCCACAGAGCGACTCCTGCAGGGTCCGTGTCAGGTGCTCATAGAAGATGGAGTTGAGATTGTTGTCATCGCTCCCTGAAGGCAGGCGGAAAGGAGAGTGGTGAGGGTTTTACCCGGAAGCAATAAGCTATCTTATGCTCAGATCCTGAAACAGAGAGCTACCCTTTGAAAGTAAGAGTTTTCACGTTTACAAAAGTGCCTGCTTCCCATCTATTTTGGCGGACTATCCTGAGACCTCCTAGGCCGTCCCTCTAGATCCTGCGGTAACTTCATACAGATGCATTACTGTCTAAGTGCAAATTACTTATACAATCCTGTGTTAAACTCAGCTCAACACTCTGACCTTGGGGGCTGGCTGTGCCTGCTGTGCAAAAATGAGGACCCGAGTTCATTCTCTAGGACACATGTTTTAAAAGAGGCAACCATAATGACAGGCACTTGGAATCCCAACACTAGGGAAGGAGAGAGAGAGAGAGAGAGAGAGGTGTGATCCTCCGGCCGGGCACCCTAGTCGTTGAGCTAGCTCCAGGCCACTGATGGACCTCTATTCAAAACACAAGGCAGATGCTCCTGCTGAATGACACTCAAGGCTGACCACTTGGCTCCACAAACACATGACACATCTACATGGGCATGTATGCACACACACACACATACACACACATTTGGGCTCTAGGTCTGTACCTTAATTCTCTACCTAACATTTCCTGTCTCAAATGCTCCACAGCTTCCATGCGCACAGAAAGGACTTTGGGACTGTCTCAGTGTGCACAATCATGCATAAAACAACCGCAAATAAAACCAACTTCTCATTGCTTTCCAGTAAACACTTGGGCCTGCGCCTGGGTCCACCATTCCCACGGCGGCTGCCCATTTGTGTGCCCCCCAGCAGGGACTGAGAGTGTGGGTTCTAAACCCTGACCAAGGCTTGATTCTGTCAGGGGCTGCCCATTGGTTAAGATTTAACACTCAGTTGGATGGATGGTGAGAGCCAAGGAAAAGGAAGAATGTTGGGAGGAGATGGAGCCAGGATGCCACACTTCCCAGTGGGAGGCCAGGGCTGAGTATGGCCGTGGTGGGGGGCATTTCCTTGCCAGGTTCTGATGGCAGCTCTCCCTCTCTGGGGTGTCTCAAGAAGAGAGCTACAAGCTTTTTAAGAAAAGACTGGACAAACTGGGAAATCCTTCTGGTAAATGCTTTGATCAGAGATCAAAGAAGGACTGGTAAGACCAAAGAGAAACTCCAGGACCTTGTGTCCTAGAGAACGAACTGTGGTCCTCAGAAACCTCTGCAAAGCCAGGCAGACATGGCATCTCACTGGAGGAAAGGCCTAGAAGCAAAATTCAAGACTTCTGTGTGTTGTCTACCAGAGAGGAGTCAGTTTTATGAAGTAGAGGCTACAATCTGACCTGAGTGCCCCTAATCTGCATCGTTGGAACACAGAGCACAAGGCTGGCCTCAGCCTGGAGACATCCCAGAAAGGTTATACAGGGAAGAGGACCAGGTTGTTGCTAGGAGACTCCTGGGGGGCAACTATCAGATACAGAGCAGTTGGCAGGGTGCTGGAGCTAAGCCGAGATATTGGTAAGCTGCTAAGACTGGCAGAGGAAACTGCTGGTAAGGTGTTGGCTCGCACTCCTCCACATTCGAGCCTGCTGGTCTGCTCTTAGGACACTAACTAAACATCACCCTTGGTTCCCTGCACTTTTAAAGAAGAGACCTGAGAGAGAGAATTAGCCCTTTCTTACTGTGCGCACTCTTCTGTACTTTAATACAATAACTGAGAGTGGAAATTTGGCCCAGAACATCTTAGCACACACTGACCACACATCTGTATAATTAGGGAAAATGAGACATTTGTGGTTAGCGGAATGCAGGATGGACTTCAGACTGTCCATGTGCCTGATGTAATGATCCTGCTGTGTCACCGAGTCCCACGGCTGCATGCCAGAGACATTCCCATCTCCCCTCCAATCCCTAGACACTGATGGAAAGTCCCACAAATAACAGGCCTGACTCTCCAGGGGCTTCCAGGCTTTAAGCTCTGACTTTATACTAATTGCGTTTATGCAATCCCAGTATAGATGGTCCCAATAACGATGGTTTCATTTGAGGATGTTGGATGCATTTGGTGGTTGCTTCCCAGGTTTCGTGTCTGATCTTTGGGGGCTTGTGTCTTGCGGTCTGAGGCTAGGGTGATACTGGGCAGTGGTGGCCAGATGCACCTTCAGGTCAACTCTGTGATCACAGATCCCAGGAGGGCGAAAGTGACATCCTGGGGTGGGTTATGCTACCAAATAGGAATGGGGCGTGGGTGAGAGGCACCGCAAGCATCTTCAAGTTGCATCCAAGTATCGGCATTGTCATAGATAGCCAGCATGGACACAGGACACTATTCCTCCTAGAGGTAGAGAGAGAGGCCTGAGCCTGAACAAATGTCCAGCTTCACTCAAATCACACTTTAAATCGACATTCTGATAAGAGGAAGAAAGAGACAAATGACTAAAAAATGAGAACACCTATAGGAAGAAAAAAGTTGACTCTCCCAGTAGATTACTCCACAGTGTAATGTCGACCAAGGTTTCTGATGATCTCTTGATGCTCAATCCTACAGTGGTTCATCCATATAAATGTCAACACAGGGCCATGTTTTTGTTTTTTGTTTTTGTTTTTAAAGATGAGGCCCCACTATGTCACCTAGGCTGGTCTGAAGTTTCTGGTCCTTCTGCACCTGTTTCCTGGATGCTGGGGTTACAGGCATGTGCCACCATTCCCAACTCAACTCAACTGGTCCTAAGAGGCCAGTCCTAAGGTTTAGAGTCTGCTTGATGTCTACCATACACAAACAATTTAAAATGTCTTCACAGGGTAACTGGATACAGTCACTAACCAACCCCAAATGATGGAAGGCTATTTCCGAAGAAACTAAGGAGGAACTGATGAGCGTACTTGCCCGGGTATGCACTGTGGGCAATGCATTTACCAAGACATGCCTTGACTCTGCCATGAGCACACAGAACACACTGAACACCTTCCATTGGAATCTATCTGCACAACAAAGAAACACAAGGTTTAAAGAGAATAGGAAAAGCAGGGCTGGAGAGATGGCTCAGTGAGTAAGAGCACTGGCTGCTCTTCCAGAGGACCAGGGTTCAATTCCCAACACCAACAGGGCAGCTCACAACTGTCTGCAGCTCCAGTTCCAGAGGATCCGACACCCTCACACAGACGCGCATGCAGGCAAAACACTAATGCCTATAAAATATAAATAAATAATTTTTTAAAAAAGAAAAAGCACTTACCTGGGTCCCTGTCCATCTGCACAGCCAATCTTGTGTTGGAATTATCCACACGCCTTGTACTAGAAGGGGCCACAGGAAGTAAAAGGTCAATGGTTAGATCTCTGCCCATTACGAAGCTGGTGGACCGAACAGGTGTGAGGTGGGGGCATGCAGGGTGCTTACAGGAGAAAAGGGACATGGCCACTGAAAAGCTCTTCCCTCTCAGAATTAAAAAGATATATGTTTTATTATCATCATCTCTTCTCTTCTCTCTCTCTCTCTCTCTCTCTCTCTCTCTCTCTCTCTCTGTGTGTGTGTGTGTGTGTGTGTGTGTGTGTGTGTGTGTGTATGTGCACGCCATGGCTCTCCTGTGGAGGCCAGAGAAAGGACACCTTGCAGGCGTCTGTGCTCTCCTTCCACGATGTGTGTGATCAAACTCAGGTCACCAAACTTGGCAGCAGCCACCCACTGAGAATCCCACCAGCCCATTTCGGTGTTCACACAAAGTATCTGTGATTCCAGTTGGTTCTAGAAAATGCCTGTGGGTAGTCGGCCTCTCGGCCGCAAACTTCTACAAGTCAGGGGCATACTTATGGGTTTTTCTTTGGTTGAGCCATGAGAACAACTCTTACAGACTTAGGAAAGGGCCAGATTTTCTGCAGCCCTGGCAAGAAGGGGTCACCAGAACAGGGTCCACCCTGACAGTGCATCTTGGTTCAGGGCTCCTAAACAGCATTGGTGATGGCCAGCCTTATTTCTGAGAGACAACAGTAGGGACTGGGCTTCATTCTGTTACCACTCAGCAAATCTGTCCAAGTAACTTCTGCGTAGATCAGTGGTTCTCAACCTCTCTGATGCTGTGACTCCTTAATATAGTCCCTCATATTGTGGTGACACCCCCAGCGCAAAATTATTTTCATTGCTATTTCATAACTGTAATTCTGTTATTATTATGAATCATAATGTAAATATCTGATATGCAGGATATCTGATATGCAACCCCCAATGGAGTCACAACACACAGGTTGAGAACCTCTGTCATTGCTGCTTGCCCTACCAGCACCCCTGAGACAATGCTTGCCATTCAGGCCACATGCCTCAAGGCCCCTGAATGTCAGCGTGTGCTCTACTTGGACAGCCTGTGTCTGAGGAGACGTCTTTGCATTTCAGACACAGAGTACCAGCCTCATCAGCCTTTAAATGGCAGAGGTTGGCAGGAAGACAAAACTGATGATGCTTGTCTGTGTTAAACATGGCGATTTCACATTGTTAAGTCCACCTCACCAACATTAAGAAAGGCTTTTTGTCAAAACACAACAGCATGAACACCACATTATACACGGGGTCCCACTGGCACTTCTGAAGGATTTCTTACTATGGTATCTCCTAGGAGAAGCAGCTGTGTGTGCATGCATGTGTGTATGCATGTGTGCATGTATGTGTATATGTGTATGCATGTGTGCGTGTGTGCGTGTGTCTGCAGGTACAGAAGATAATCTAGGCTGTTGGTCCTCGGGAGCCTTTCGGCTTTTGTTTGAGTTGGGGTCTTTCATTGGCCTGCAACTTCATCTCACGAGCCAGGCTACCTGACCCATCAGCTTTCAAGAGTCTGCCTGTCCCTGCTTCCCATCCTGCTGTCGGGATCCCAGGCTCACACCGCTGGTATTTTGTACGGGTTCTGGAGATCTAAACTCAATCCTGATGCCTTCAGGACAGGTGCTTTACTGGCTGAGCCATTTGCCAAGCCCTTCCGGCTGCCCCTGATGCTTCACACTTGACTTCGATTTAAAGGCATTGACGCATTGCGCAGTGTGACCTGACCAACAATGAGCGTTTGTCAGGGATGTCATTGGAATGCAGACGTCTTGGCTGAACCTGCCTCCCAGGGATTGGAACTGATTACAAGAATACTAGGATGGGATTATATTTGAATCAATGAAATGGCTCACCTTCAGAAGAAAAAAAAATCAAAAGCATCATTTGCTTCCGTGTTCACCTTAGACATTCACCAGCCATCTAGTTAGGGTTCAGTGTGAACCTGATGGTTGATTCCACAGAAGGGCTGCAGGCAATGGCTCTGTGAACGCACTCAAAAGGCATGAATCTCAGCACACTGCTCCATCCCGCGTCAGCTTCCCTCCCAAACAGCCTCACGGCATCTCTCAAAACAGCAGAGCCCAGGGCAACAGAAGACCAAGCAAACAACAGAATCCTTCATAATGAAGGTTGAGGTCCCATGTCTGCATACTGAATCCCTAAACGGAATTTTAATTTCACCTTAAGACCTAGGACAAATGGAATTTCCAGCTGCAGAATAAACAATTTTTAACATGGGACTGAGCCAAAAGAAAGTCAATTATCCCTCTCTTTAGGGAATTTAGACACTTTCTGAAGCTCCGTCCACTGCAATGCTGTCTTTCCAAAGGTGACAGCCTTTTTGGAACAGAGAAAGCTCACTAAGTCCTCATGAACTCTGCCAGGCCACGGTACCCCAGGCCTAGGGCATCTCCCTCTCAGAAGGGAAGCCTCCAGTGCTCTATAATCCGAGTTCTCCTCCAGTGAGGTCTGCCTGGAACCTTGGTGCTCACGACTGAGAGGTGCTAATTACCTCTGTAATTGGATTCCTGCCTGAACCATCCCATCGCACACCATCCAATCTGTTGCTTCCATCTCACCCTCCCCCATCTCTGGGAAGCAGGCTGGTCAGCTGGGCACGCACCTGTGGGTGGGATATCGTTTCCAAAACTTGCCCTATGAAGTCACTGTGTCCTGTGGGCAATGCCAACCTGGAGATCTGGGTCGGTGCCTTGAACAGGCCTCTAAGAGGTCTCTCCAGAGAAACTGACCTGTTGGGAGGTAACTCTTCCTATATCAGCACGGCATGCAGGGACAGAGCTGGCCTCCTCCTGACAATCCTGTCCCACCTCAATCTATCTCCTAAGCCAGCCACCTGTTCTTTCACAGGGGTCGGAATGTGCACCTTACATAGTTTGACAGTAATTTACTTTGCTGAAACTATTTCATGGTCACTTTGCCAGCACACACTGGTTGTTCCTGGGAGACCCCTCCCATTTGTTACGCTGCTCCTGACTGGAGTAAGACAGACAGCATTTGTCCCTGTGGTTAGGAATGAACGGCCCTTCTAGCCCTGGTCTGACTGCAACATTGTTGATTCAAAGTCCACATTTGGACTCCGATGACTCTAATGTGGTTCTATTTCACTTCATTTCTCTGCAGGCTTTTTTTTTTTTAAAAAAAAAAAAACTTCCTTCTGCACGCTTGGTTTGGAATTTTTGTTTACTGAACTTGTACGGGGTACAGAGGGGAGAGTCACCTCATCTGTCTTATCCCTAGTTGCCTGTTGTCTGAAAGAGCAAATCAGGACATCGGAGACCCTCCGGAGTGAGACTCAAAGAGACGCACGACTATCACTATGGTCTTCAAGATGCAAGCTGAGTATTCTCGCCAGTATGGGACTGACCAGCTGACCCTGGGGGCGGGAGCTATGCTAGGGAGAGACGTGGCCGCGATGTCCCCACACAGGTGCATCTGGGGAAAGTTTGTTCCCCACTTTTATTTAATTTCCAGTAAGACTCCTACAATCTTAAAATATTCCACAAACCCATATATTCACGGAGAACAAAGAGCTGCGATATATAATAACTACCTGAAGAGACGATATTCTGCAACTCAGTTGCACAGATAAAGATCTAGACTGTTTTTTTTATAACGTTTTGAAAATATTAGAAGGAAATTTACTTCAAATTTGGTGTTTCAGATACTAAAACAGGTCATGTCGGCTCTCAGCTACAGGAGCAGAGGGTCAAAGGTCAACACAAGGCTAGTATATCCCTTCCTCCCAGCTGTCCTGTGCCTCCCAGGATCCACTTGGCTTGCCCCCCACAATGGTTCCCTGACCAGAATGGGGGTGAACAGTCCTTGAAAACTACAACACGGAAGCCTGCCTTACAGCACGCAGAACCACCCCTCAGAGGAGGTTGCTTGACATTTTAAATTGTTCGACCCAGACAATTCTACTTAAAAACATTATTAGGTTTATTCAGTTAGTCTATGCATATGCGGAGTTCAACTCATAGGAGTCAGCTCTCTTCTTCTTCCACGTGAGTCCGGGGATCCAACTCAGGTCATCAGGCCTGGTAGCAAGAATCTTCCCCTGCCCAGCTGTTTCCCTGGGCTCCAAAGAATTATCCTTAAAACCTTCAAAGAATTTCCTCTTCTCCAAACCTCAGAGTAAACATAGTTTTCTCATAAAGACCCCCTGTCTGCTGCAAACTGTGCTCTGCGGATCCAAAACTCTGAAACAGGTAGCAGCGATTCTCGAACATCGCCGGCCGTGGCACCCAGCACTCCACTCAGCAGCCTCGGTGCTGTTGGGCAGCATCTCCCTAACTCTCGTGATGGTGGTGGTTCTACTACTGATCGTTTTTCACTTGGAAACCGTGAATGGAGGCTGGAGAGATGCTCAGAAGTTAAGAGTGCATACCACCCTTGCAGAAGGTCCAGGTTCAGTTCCCAGCACCCACACCAGGGGGCTCAAAACTGCCTGCAGTTCCACATTCCAGGGGATCCTGGCTTTCTGGCCTCAGCAGGCACCTGTGCTCACAGGCACACACCCATACACAGATGTGTGTGTGTGTGTGTGCGGACGTGCACACACACACACACAGATGCAGATATATATATATGAGAACTAAATCATGGAAAGCCACGAAGGAGGATGGATCTGTGAGCATCATCAAGATCAGAGAGGAAGCCCTGGCAGCAAGCCACTCTTGGGGATCATCAGGGTCCCTGCGGAGGGGAGATGGGGGACAGAATGTTTCCAAAGTGACAAGACCAAGAAAAAGAGTGTTTTCTAATGCCCACATGATAGCTAAGTCCACGAATAAGATTACCAGTGAGTACAAATGAGCTGCCAGAGCATTCTGAGAAGTAAGCTGGGATACAAAGCCCAAGCCCAAGTCAACCCAGCCCTCCACTTGTCCTTTCCACAGCTCTCTCTGGTCCTAACAAAAAGAATGACAGTGCCCAGCAGTGTCCTGCATGATCACGGGAGTCTTGGCTCCCCCGACCCCTGATCGGGGGCACTTTGGTTAGCAGTACTTGGTGCGGGAGAATTATCTGTATTCTGTCAATCATGTATTTTAATAAAACGCTGATTGGCCAGGTAGGAAGTATAGGCGGGTCAACCAGACAGGAAGTAGAGGCGGGGCAATGAGAATAGAATAAGGCTACGGAGGAAGGTTCCTCAGCCACTCC